AATATTACACAACACCCTTGTCTAGCACATGGGTATTTTTGTCCGGGCGGATAAAAATTTATTAAGCACCGGCTAAAGAGTAAATACATTTTAAATAGTGGCTAAAAAGTAAAGACATGCACTTCCCCGGCGAAACACAGGATCAGGAATCTTTTTCTCCTCGTGGGGTGATAAGTTCGATAGACAATCGGACATCAAATTCCTCGTCACTTAGTAAAGCCAAACTAGGTCGCTGTTAGTGTCTTGGTGATAGACATAGTTTGCTCAATCCTATCGCGTACTGTTCTAGAGCTAGCTTTGACCCTCGCCACTATAAAATTTTTGTCCCCTTCTCTTCATTTTTCGTTCAGAAAAAAAGATCTTGGAAGTTGAGGTAATACCCAATTCATTCTTTACAATTGCTTTGGGGTTCTGAATTTTGATGAAAAATCTGATTTTGTTTAATGGGTTTCTGTTAATTTGATTGGATTTGTAGTTTTGCCACTGAGATTTGAGCATGGGTAATGCTTCTTCAATGTTGACTCAATATGATATTGAGGATGTCCAAGACCATTGCAACCATCTATGTAAATTATTTTTACTCATCCATTAGTCTTCTTTTTATTCCTTTTCTTGCACAGCTTACTAATTGAAAAAAAAAAAACAGTTTCACAGCAGGAAATTGTTTCATTGTATCAGAGGTTCTGCCAACTTGATCGGAATTCAAAGGGTTTTATATCAGCTGATGAGTTTATGTCTGTGCCCGAATTCGCGATGAATCCACTCTCTCAGGTTTGCTTTTAAATATTTATGTTGGTCTTAACTAGTAGATTTGTATGTAATTGGATATTGGTATGTTCTTGTCTGTCTTGTCGGTATGTTCTTTGTGTTTGATAATGTGAAATGCATCTTTCCAGAGATTGCTTAAGATGGTGGACGGCTTGAATTTCAAGGATTTCGTGGCATTTTTATCAACTTTCAGTGCTAAAGCGAGCATGGCACAGAAAATTGAACGTACGTCATTAAGTCTTACATGTGTTGTTTTTATGCAACTTAAGGAAAGACGTGTTAGATAGGAGGATCGTGTTTAAAATGTTTTTGGGTTTGTTTGTTTAGACCTTGTATTTCCATTATATTGGCATGAGATGCGTTTAAATGGAGAAACACGGTCAGTGTTGGAATCCTTTTTTTAAAAGAAGAAGTTAATGGTCGAGTAACAAATAAGAGTAGTAGATCATATTCGATGAAAGCAAAAACAAAAAAAGAAAGCCGACCCCAACTTAATTGAGACTGAGGTGTAGTTGTTGTTATTATAGTTTGTTTAGCTTAGTGACATCTTAGGCATTGCAAGTCGATTAGCTGGATGCAGATATGCAGCTAGACATGCTACTATCCTTGCTAGATGTTTTGTAGTATTATGCATATCTGAAATTTTTGTAAGATCCTTCGCCTACTTTCCCGTTGTAAATTGTGCCCACCAATCTGCTACTGCGGTTTAAAGAGAAGATCCATCTGTGCCATTACATGATTATTTTTAGTCTGTCTAGGATTGGGGATTTATACTAGAGGGTGTAAAGGTGTTAATATGAAGTACCAGTCACTGAAGAAGTCCTTTTATGGCAACTATCATGCAGATCCTATCTTTTACTCCTGAAATGTATTTGAAACAAGCGATTGTTATTTACCTAACATTGTTTTCATACTTTCTTTTGCCCTTCTCGTAGCACTTGCTGACTCTTCAACTTCCTTTTTCTCTTAGTTATCTTCAAGGTATATGATTCTGATTGCAATGGGAAGGTGACCTTTGATAACATAATGGAAGTGCTTCGGGATTTAACTGGATCATTCATTTCAGACAAGCAAAGAGAGGTACTTGACAGTTGGCATCTTTTTTCCTTTCTACTCTCTCATATTAATGTAGAGATTTATTCACAAAATTAACATTGAGAAAGTGCTGGAGTTGCATAAGATGTATGATTTAGTCTCCTATCCAAGACAAAAGTGTCAAAATGATTTAAATCTTACATCTCACACCAAAAAGATAGAGATTCTACATCTTCATCAAGATGAGTATTCCTGCAAAGATTGCTGGCCCCTAAAAGAGGAGTTTGGATAATATGCTAGACTTCAGTGACTTCATAGGGATAATCTTCATTCATGTGTTTGAACTTTGAAGTGCCCTGAATAGTTTTTACAGATTTTAATCATTCTATTTCTTGACATTGTAAGTGCTTTATGCTTTTATATCTTGGTTCTTCACTATGATCATTGCTTGTGCTCGCTTTTATTTAGTCTATAACTAATAAATTACTCTGTCAAAAGAGTAACGCTAGAAGATAATAAACATGTTTAAAGTGTAAACTGAAAATATCAATCTGAGAATTATTTTCCTTATCAAAAACTATAAAACCTCTTTTGCCCCTCTCTTATCTTTTAAAGATAATACTGTAGTACTTGTTTCCCTATTTTTACTTGCCTATCTTCCCAATTTGAAACCTTTTCTCACTTAACTAGCTTGCGATTCCTAAGAGTCTATGCTACACCTATGTTTTAATGTAAGGGTCTAAAGTGCAGTGTTCTAACACAAGGCTCTAACTGGTAGTTGGTAGAGTCATGAACTGCTACTTTACGCGGTGCTTCCAATCTAGCTCGTGACAGCTGACAGCTTATCCTTTATAAAAGTTACCCTACTTTCTTCTTTAGCGGCTTCTATGTTGTAGCGATCTTGCTCTTTTCCATTATATTATTACTTTATCTAGGCTTGAAGTGAAGAGAAAATTGAAGAAGGATGGGCATTATATGATAGAGAAGGTTTTATAGTTCAAATCTGCAAGTAAAACGTCATGCCTGAGATGAACAAATTGGGAGGGTGGTTGTTAAAAAGGACCATTCTGAGGATGATTTGCTAAAAAGATAAATGTTCACAGTTAGTAATTCACATTTTAAGATTCAGAATTTGAATGTGTTTGGGTACCATGACTTCTTTTGTATCATTGGTTGGTTTAGTTCCTCGTGATTTGCTAGACCTTTTTGCTGTTCCAATGCTGTATTCACATGCACAGTCTAGAAGTTTGAGTATAGTATTTGTATCCTTTAACATTACTCACTCTGTTATCCTTGAATAAAAATCTTTTACTTATGTGAATTTTGTAGCTTTCTTGCTTATGCAGCCAGGCTTTATCAGTTGCCATTTCGTATAGTTTTTGAATGATGAATTTGACAAGTTCCTCGTATGTGTTTGATCTGGATTGCAGGAAGTGTTGAGCCAGGTCTTGCACGAGGCTGGTTATACAAGAGATTCATTGTTGCTGTTGAACGATTTCATTAAGGTAATATTCATGTTTATGGACTGGGAATACGAAACTAAAAGTGATTTCTGTTAACTTTTTGGGGTGGGTTGGCACATGTTAATCAGAAAGCTTAGAGTTATGTTAGAATTAGGAAGACGTGGTTCTTGTTCCTCAGCATCATTCTGATGTCTGGAATTTCGAAAGTTTTACATTGAGAGATGCCGTAATGGTACAAGCTAAGGCCATACCTTCAATGAGTATGCTTCTGCATGCTGTTTCTTCTCATTAAAGTCAAAATACACACATGTTTTGAAGCCGCTATTATTTGATTTGAATCTATTAATTGGGTAATAGTATTGTTAAAGTCATTGTTTTCTTTTCAGTACTCAAAATTCTGTCTCCTTATAGCTTTGTAATTGTGTTTTGCTGATGTTTTCAGATCCTGGACCACCCTGGTTTGAAGATGGAGGTAGAAGTACCAATTGACTAGTTACACCTGCGATTTCATTTACTACAATTCAGATGTCTCTGTGTACAAGGCAGCCGTGTTATTCTATTTTGTTGAATTCGCGCACCTGCTTTCTCCTGCTGTTTTTTTGTTAAATCTCTTTCTTTTTCCTTCTTTTGCCCCCCTTTTATGTCTGTTTGTGGGGCAGGGACAGAAACAGAGAAACCACCGTGTAATTATGATAAACAGCTTTCAGCTTATTCAGAAGATCTTGAACATGCTATAATTTTAATCTCTCACAAAGTGTGTATTTTTCCAGTTAATTTTGCATGCTTCAACCAAGTGTGGTGCATATTGGGCTAGTTCAGTGAGTTGCATATTGTATAGCGTGTTCGGCTAACTGGCTAGCGAGGCTGTCGCAAGGCGTTCCGCCCCATTGACCACCTCGTAGTCAGCGGGCAGACAATGCTTTGCACAACATTTATAACCACACTGTTCAGCCATTTTCAATTTTGTCCCAAGCAAGCATCTAATACCTCAACATCTCAAACACACACATACAATTCCTACCAAAGTCCAAATAGTACTTTATACATCATAGCTGTCAAAAGCATGTAAAGGAAAAAGGGGGGAAAGTAACGAGGCGTCACATTCTTCTTCACTTAAAACAAATGCAAAATAAGTCACACACGAGGTTTGAAAGAGATGTGGATAGCTGGTGAGTATGTCGCTCCCCTGTCCTGGCATAAGTTTAGAGTTTGGATCCACCGTCACTATCTCCTCAAGAATGTCTAAAGCATACTCCCGTTCTCAGCTTAGAGCTCAACATGACTACATTGCTCAATAACTTATGACAGTTTGGTTCAAGCTTTATTTGAAGCCATGCGAACGGTTTCAGTAACTGTCAATAGTTAGCCGAAACGGTCCAATGAAAGGATTGGTGATTAATTTGAACCAGTTGAAGGTTATTAGACAATCTAAAATATTTGGTTTCAAATCATTCTGACAACTGCCAAAAATAGAATGAATTATTACTAGAACTACTGCCGTCCTAGGAAAGCACTGCATTAATACCTTCTGCTTATATGCATCCAAAATTTGCCTCTTTCTTTGAATAGAAGAAATCAGGCCCTACTAATTTCAGCTTCAGGACAAATACTTCTCGTTTACCGGTTTCCACCCTGCTATTTATCTGTTAAGAGTCAGACCTCAACGTTTTCTCATATAATGCTATACATCAGACATTTTTGTCCAGATTTTGTTAATATTATGTATAAATTCAGACCGGAAGAATATATGAATCAGTATGCTTTTAGGAGCAGCTAGCATGTCATGTCAGGCAACAAGGGAAAATCCCTCGCGTCGTACACGTACTCGTGTCACTTGGCTGAAAGTTCTTCTTCTGCAGAAGGAGGTTATAGGAATAAGGAGATTGTGCAGGCCGAGCAAGTTAAACTAGTTGATAAGAGATTGAGAATTCTTGAAGATGAAACAGAATTACTCAAGGTAGCTTTCTATGAGAGTGTGGAAGAAAGAAGAAGGTTAGTACATGCAATTCAAAACGAATTTCAGGCTGTATGCAATGGCGAACATACCTTCGGATACACAAAGGTATTAAACGATTCTGAAGTGATTGAAATATGATAATATTATTGCTTCTATTGAACTACACATCATTGGCTTATGGTATGTTCTTCTTTAATATACAGCGTCAACGACATGGACTCCCGCAAATTCTAGGTGAAGACACAAATCCAGCAGTTGTCTTCAGAGAACTGAGAGCTTCTGAGGCTGTTTTCCAGGATGCTACTGTATGTGTATGCGAGTTCTCACACAGATGATTCTGCCTCTCTGTGCAGCAGCCTGGCCGATCATAATTTATATTAGATTCTTTTTCAGGTACCAAACGCGTGGAAATATTTTTCTTTGCTTCTTTGGTGGCAATGAGATTTGAACCTATGATTTCTTATCTGCTATGATATCATGTTGAATCGTGTGATCATCTAGTTTTAAAGCTTAAACTATTATAGAGAGCACGCTTTTATCTACTTAATTATATTATGTCTCAGCAATTTCTTCCATCATCTGAAGTTATACGTACTTTGACTAGAAGCATTATGTTAGAAGAGAAATTGTCACTGTTACTAGTCACTTTCCCATCTTCCTTTTCTTTTCCGCGTTTAAGGGCTAAGCTCTGTTACATTACAGGGAATATAGCCATAAGTTTCAATGAAGAAGCTATTATTGTTGCTACTTTCTACATTATCAGTGTAAGGATTCTCACTTCAAGTAGTCATCAGCCATTACTCATCTCTTACAACTTCCCAAGCAAATGACAAATTATATATGAAGAGAAAGACTGGTATAGAAAAAACTTTACATTATCAGTACTTTAACCATAAAAACTGCCAACAACATTATTGAAGATCAGAAATTACTTATTGCTGCCACAAACATGAAGAACAAACTTAGAATCCATTGAGAAAAAACCATCCCATAACACACCAATCTTAAGCATAGGCTTCAGGATTTTGAAGGAGATAAGCTTCTACAACTTTGAACATAGCCGAGACCTTCTCCTTTCCTGCCTTGATCTCCTCTTCATTGAGCTTGAAATCTCCCACAGTATAGTATGTGCTAGTCACCTTAGATATGGAACCACCATCACCTGACTCCTCAAACTTCACATCATAACTTATTTTCTCAAGGTTGTCTACCAATCCATCACCTCCAACCAATGTGTATTTATACGTGTATGTCTCCTCGTTAAGCTCATCAACACGATACTTTATGGATTTAAACTTGCCCCCTATACGAACCAAAAAAAAAGGGTAAAAGTGATCAGAGGTATTGTTTTCATAAGAAATGTTAGTCTACTAAGAAGACTTTTGCATAAAAATAAAAGAATAATTTGATGATTGTACCTTCAGGAAAATTGATGGTCTTGATACTTCCAGCACCTCCATCGCCTTGAACTTCAACACTGCTAATAGCTTGTGGCATCAACTTAGGGATCAAGTTATGAGAATCAACAATGGAGGCCTTGAATATTCTTTTGGGGGGGAGTGGGGAAGTGTGTTCCTCAGTGAAGGTGGTGACAGCCATGTTTTGATTCTGAGAAGAAAATAAATGAGTAGGATTTTTTGTAGGGGGGAGAGCTTCTTGTTTGATGCAAAAAGAATGGGATATATCAGAGTTTATATAGGTTCAAGTCCTGCAATTATATAATCTTGTAGTCATTTTCATGGCAGGCCAAATATATGCTTTTGTTTGTCTACATGGTAAAATTGCTATAGCTGAAGGATCTGTTTGTCCTATGTTTATATGCCCTAGGTTGGATTTACTCGTTCAAAATGACTTTAGATCTTTAGTTGATTTCTAAATTTTGTATACATGAACTAGGAAATTGTCCATCCAATTTTTAAGGATTCTTGTATTTGGCTTTTTTTTTTTCTCTTCTCTTTTCATAGGCGGGTACGCGTAATCCCACTACACTTTTATCAAGTGAAAACAGAAAAGAGTTTGTATTTTATTGTAGTACCGAGTCCCTTGATAGATCAGGATTTGGTCATTGGGAGGATAAAAAAGGCGGCCCGGTGCATTAAGCTCCCGCTATGCGCGGGATCCGGGGAAGGGCCAGACCACAAGGATCTATCATACGAGGGTAAAGGAATCAATTGAGAGGATAAAGGAATCAATTCATAATTGTTTCTTTCTGGTAGAATAATCATCAATTTCGTATGTGAATATGAGGGTGTCAAGAGGCAAGGACAACCAAGAAAGTTCAAATGCGGTAGAAACTCAGCTTATGGCAATACCCTATAATATTTTCAATCTTTAACTCTGTTTATATGATCCAGACTGAAGATAATGTTGTACTTTTGTCCATCAATCCAAACCGAATTCATGAAAGAAAAAAACGCACTTGAGAATCTAAAATAAACGTTCACATCTGGATTCAAGTTAAACATCCAAGATTGTTCAAGAAACAATGACTTTCAGATTAACCATGAATTTTACATTTTACATTGAGAAACCTATTAGTGACTATCATCAAGCTAGAAGGAAAAGCGGATACAAGTTGCAGAGTGCAAATAAGAACAGGAACTAAATTTCTCCTCGATAACCTCCAGACCCAAAGTAGTCTCTCCTGGAATTGGCAATCTGCACGCTCTTTTGGTGCTCTAGCTTGGGGCAGTCACGGATACGATGACCAAGTCCACCACAATATGCACAACCCTTTACCCCACTCGCATTCGTGATTGCCTCAACGTCGTCCATGGGGTCATTGAGCTCCGCAAGGACAGGAGGTATCCTTTGTTTTGCTTCTTGTAACAAGTGTTTTAGATCAAGAAGTGTTGTCTCGCTCTGATTCTTGTTGATAAAGGTTGTGGCAATTCCTGTTTTTCCACATCTTCCTGTTCGTCCAATCCTATGCACGTAGTTTTCAATTTCAGCCGGCATATCGTAGTTAATTACATGCTGAATATCAGGAAAATCTAATCCTTTAGAAGCAACATCAGTTGCAACCAGAACATCTTTCTTGCCGGACTTAAATGATGCAATTGCATATTCTCTCTCTTCTTGATCCTTGCCTCCATGAATAGCCACAGCTTCAACTCCTTTTAAGAGAAGGTATTCATGGATATCGTCCACATCAGCCTTATTCTCACAGAAAACCAGAACCGGAGGCGGAGTTTTTTGCAAGCACTCAAGAAGGTAAACAATCTTGGCTTCCTGCTTTACATACTCCACTTCCTGAATCACATCAAGGTTGGCGGCTCCAGCCCTCCCCACGTTCACTGTTACTGGTTTAACTAATGCACTTCTAGCAAAATTCTGAATCTTCGGGGGCATTGTAGCAGAAAATAGCAGAGTTTGTCTTTGAGCTTTGAAATGATCAAACACCTCCCTAATATCATCTTCAAAACCAAGATCAACCAATCTGTCTGCTTCATCCAGTGTCAAGTATCTGCAAAAAACCAACACTACGGTAGGCACCGCAAACTTCACAGACATACATTGTAAGAAAGTAAAGAAAAAGAAGAAAATCAACAATCAATGGAGAGATTAATCAAGTTATATACAGACATATACAATCTCTGAGCGCATGGACTCAAATTAGCAGTTAGCAGTCAGTCAGTGATTCCCACTGTTTAAAATTGACTTGGGCTGAAAAAGGTACCTATACTGTGAGCAAAATGTTCCCACAAACAGTTTTCCATCTATATATGTGTCTGAACTCTCAAAGGCAGGGGTAGATATGGGACAGCACCACATATTACGCGGAATAGCAAACAACCAGGAAAGAAGCAACACATGACAACTGATGATGAGAGCAGGCACGCCAAATACTTGACTGATCAGAGGTTAGGTATAAGAAAATGAGATGTTATATGTAACACTAACTCTTTATACTGTACAAGCTAGGGAAAATGTTTTGATTACTCTTCATCTAGTATTTATATATTTTAGAACGAGATCCCAGCCAGATGAGCACGTTAGACTCCAACGCCTAGAAAAACAAGGACGGCCACCAGAAAGAGATAAAAAAAATACTACCTCAATAACCGATCTGCAAGATTAGGTACATACCTGCAGTTGTCAAGGTTCATTTTCTTCTTTGCTAACATATCTTTGAGTCTTCCAGGTGTAGCAACTACAATGTGAACTCCCTTCTTTACAACATCAATTTGGGACTTCATATCAACTCCACCAATACACAGCAAAGGCCTCAATTCAGGGTAACCATACTCCCTCAATGGTTCTAAGAATTGTTCAATAACTTCATATGTCTGTCTAGCCAGCTCTCTGGATGGACAAATAATCAAGCCGAATGGTCCTTCCCCGGGAGCAATGGGCATCATAACTTCTTCCTGCAAAGCCACCATAATAAGTGGCAAGACAAAAACCAATGTTTTACCAGAGCCTGTAAAAGCTATACCTATCATATCGCGACCTGATAAAATAACAGGCAGGCCCTGCACTTGGATTGGTGTCGGCTGAACAATCCCCCTCGCTTTAAGTTTCTTCAAAATGGGCTCAGGGAACCTCATGTCCTTGAAATTCTTTATTGGTGGAGGAACATCTTCGCCATCCACAATAATATGCCACTGCTTTCGGATCGCATCACATGCTTTCTTTGACATCCGTCTGATGGCTAATGGCGGCTTCCAACCGGTGAACAAAGGCTCTGTATAAGTAATACCTTTAGCTAGTTCACGAACGGACATTAACGTCTTCCGATCAGATAAATGCTCAATCATCTCCTTCTCTTGCAGGACTACTTGTTCAGTTGGACTAATCTCAGGTTGCTCTTTCTTCAGCTGAGTGGCCTTCACAAGCAAACTCGGTTTAGCCGCAACAAGCTTCAATTTTTCCGCTTCCTCTTCCAAAACTGAAGATTTTCCCTTGCGCTGAAGGATCTTTTGCGCCTCAATTGCTCGACGCTTTGCAACCGGTACATATTCAACATAATCATCCTCATCCTCCATCTCCTGCAACAACAGCAAGGATGTATTAACACATCTGAAGTAGCACTTGAATCTTATTTAACACTCTAACACGGTATTCAACAGTGACATTGTGAAAAAATGAAGGACCCAAGCACAGTTTATAAAGCTGTTATTAACAGCAAAGCAAAACCAACTACAGCGAATCATAAGTCATAACCAAAAGTAAATGTTGAATCAATAGTACAATCTGCTAAAACCCAATAAAACGCTTCGAAGAGTCGATTCAATTGCACTAAAATTTCCAATTTTAAATTATCACAGAATGATGAAAGGGAAAATTTGAACCGAAAGAGAAAGGAGGAAGGTGCATACCATATTTACGTGGTCTGCCATATGAGCTATGAAGATGAATTGCAGAGAAACTGATTTTTTGTAATACTCCTAGAAGAGTCCAGAGAGCTAATTCCCCGCGACTCCAATTGGGTTGGGTTTTTAAACGAGCAATTTATGCTATATACCTACTAATGACAAACAAATTATGGGTTTTTACTTGCTCTCAAAATAGTTACACTATACATCTAGCCGATCAAAAATATTTACCCGTGTACTCATTTTTCTTATTTATTCTTTTACGCAATTATGCATTTGAAAGTTGCCTTGTAATTTTCCTTCTCCCTTTCTCTTTTTCACTTTCTCTAATTGGATTATATCCCTCCGTATCAATCCACTTTTTCTATCCTCTCTTTTTCATGTATTCCAGAAAAACAAAGCTAGAAAGTAAATCTATAAAAAAAAATTAGGGTTTCAATAGTTTCTTCTCAAAATTCTCAATCTCATTGAGTTCGATAGATTTTGGCTTTCTCTATATGAGATTTTTATTCAACGTCATGCGTGATACTCGTACTAATCACCTAAAAACACCCGATTACTTAATTGGATGTTGTGTTCAAAGTTGTTTTAAGAGATTTTCTTGTTAAACTCTTTTTCAAACTCCAGATCTGGACTTTTGTGTGTGTTTGAAGACCCGCCATTGTTGAGCTTGAAACTCTTGAATTTAAAATTCCTTTTTTGTTGTTTGATTCAAAGTGGGTGTTAAAAAATATTATTTATAGTACCTTTTGGGAAGTTACTGCAACAATATACTGTTTATACATTTTATTGCATCATAATGCAATAATATACTATAATAGTGTATAATTTACTGTAATAAAATACAATATATGACAATATTATACCGTAATAGTATACAATATACTGCTATAATTGGATCCTTTTTCAGCTTTTTGAAATATCCATGTCCTTTTTCAAAATTTAGACGAAGCTCTCATTTGTTTTTCAAATACTTTTCTAAATGAGCTATTTAATGGAATTCCATGGAGGTATTATTCATTGCATAAGCTCTCATTAAATTAATTAGATTATGTGACAACTGATATTATTTCAGTTTAATAATTGAATTAAAAAAAACTAAACTCTTTGCGTACAATTGTATATCATGTTGGTATAGCTATATACTATACTGGTATCATATGTTAGTTGGAACATTTTTTGTTGTATTAGCTGCATTTAATAGGTACACTATTTGATCTTCTTTTAATAATAGTAATATAGTACAATATCTTGAAATACTTTATTTTATTAATATGTAGTACGCTATTTTTTTTATTTTTCTCTTTATGCATGTGTGTTATGTAATAGTAGTATAATCATATAATTGCCGGATATTAACCAGTAAAGATGTATACCATGTTGGTATAGTTATATACCATATTGGTATCATATGGTAGTTTGAACATTTTTTTGGGTTGTTTTAGCTACATTTTTAAGTGATTACTATTCTGAAATTATTTATATGAACATGATTTGCAGTGCTGGAATTTTTTTGTGCCAATGGACATAGATTATGTGTATTATGTAATAGTTTTTATAGTTATAGGCAATTGTTGGAATGATCCCACGCAGCTATATACCCTGTTAGTATACGGAATGAGCAAGTTGCTTTGCGAATATTTAGCTTGCAATGCGAGCGTGTAATTTTCTCATACTTTTATTGCATCCTTTAAAGTTTCGTTACAGTAGTATAGTCGCAGATAGTTGTAGCAATATTCTAGAGCAATCATATACTTTGTTGGTATACATGTATACCATATTGGTATCATATGGTACTAGAAGTCTTTTTTGCTACTTATACTTTTATTGCATTTTTAAATATTTTATTATCATTTCTATTCTAACTAGTATATATGGAGATTTGGTGGTCGTAGATTATGTTTTCTTGCTCCATAACTGGCTGTGTTACTGCTAATGGTAGAGTGTGTACTGATATTTGTAGGGAAGGAGATCAAGGTTTGCATAGCAATCACTTATTGATTCTTAGAATCAGATTATATAATTTATGGTGCTCAGCAGCAGTCAGTGTGATACTCAGTGAATTAGATCAAGATTTCAGTTTAATAATTGAATTTAAAAAATGAGATAAAAGACAAAAGGTATGTTATACTAGTTATTTTTAAAAAAAGGTGAACAAATATTTACTATATCAGTTATTTTTTTTGTTGTTTTAAAAAAGAATAATAAAAAATGGTGAAAACAGTAAATGAAATTAGATTATAAATAGAAAAGAATATAAAAAAAAAGAAGTTAAATGAAATTACAAAAGGAAAAAAGAAAAAAATAAGAAGAAAATGAGAAAAAAGAAAAGGAGAAGAAAAAAAGGAAAAAAAGAAAAGAAGCATAGAAATAAAAAAGAATAGGAGGAAAAAGGGAAAATTTCCCACAAAAACTAGTGTGGGTAGGAAATGTAATTAGTTTGATGGGTAGAAAAATAAACGGAAAAAGGCCAAATATCTCTCTCTACTTTTGTTTATTGTTCAATCTCATCCCCCGTTATACTTTCCGTTCATATATATCCCTGCCGTCCAACAAAGTTCTATATTTATCCCTATTTTAACGGACATGACACGTGGCATCCTTTAAGCACAAGACCTAACCCACAACTTAAATACCCATACCCACTTAAAACCTACGACCAAAGTACCACATTAAAGAATTCGGGTCGCGTTGGACACTTATGCTCTGAGATTTCTCCGATGACTAGTACTAATTGTTTCCTTCATCTTGTGGGTTTTTGGGGCTGTGAAGGGGAGTAGAGGAGAGAGTGGGGCTAGACAGGATCGATTATTGATCGAAAATAATGGAGGATCAGTGGCTTTTCCGGTGATGATGGTCGTTTCCCGGCCAGGTAACTGCCGGAAAAGAGGTAGAGGAAACGATGGGCGCATAATACGACGTCGTTTTTGAAATTTTCACACTCTCAATGGGCTAATCTTCCTCTACTAGCAGTCCGATTTTAGAGCCCTGTAAACATCGTAATTTCACTGGGCTGCTACTGCTCTTAATTCTCTTGAATGGGGTTTGTCTATTTTATGTAAAGTTTTTGACTTAATTGTTGAATTGGGTTGTTTCCTTCTTTAACTATCTGTTTGCTAGGTTCATCTGATTTTGATTTAGTCTCTTAGTTCATGATTTGTATTAATTTATTTGAAACTTGGAAGATTAGTATATTACGTGTTTGATCCTTATTTACTCGCTAAATCTGATGCTTTATGTTTACTTGATGGAAATTACAATTTTAATCTGATGTTTTCTTAAGGTTGCAGCTCATTATAATGGTTGTTTTTTTTTTTTTTGGGGGGGGGGGGGGGGGGAAGAAGAAATGAGTTTTAATTTTAGGAAATTTTTTTAAAAGGGGAACCGGGTCAGATGGGTTATATTTTAGGCATGTTTGGGTTTTTTTGTTTTGTTTTGGGATTGGTTCTTTCAATCAAACGGTGCCACATGTCATGTCCGTTAAAATAGGGATAAATATAGAACTTTGTTGCACGGCAAGGATATATATGAACGGAAAGTATAACGGGGGATGAGATTGAACAATAAATAAAAGTAGAGGGATATATCTAGCCCTTTTCCGAAAAATAAATGGGTAGGCAAGGATAAATATTTTTTTATTTTTGTGGGTAACTGTGTCATTCTCCCATTTTAAATCTCATGGGTTGGATTTGGATATGGGTATTTATGGGGTGAAATAAAAAATAGCTAGATTTACAATTAATAATTTAAAAATAGTCATAGTTTCAAAAGTAATCGAAATTTAGTCACTTTTTTATGTAAGGATAAAATATGAAAAAAAAAACCAATCCAGAAAAATTCCAGCATAATATGCTGGAGTTCAAATTTTTTATATATGAGATTCCAGAATAATATGCTGGAATATCCAGTATATTATGTTGAAACTTTTGGTGTGCTAGAATTCCAACATAATATGCTGAAAGTTTATAAGCGAGAGCTCCATAATTCAACATATTATGCTGGAACTTTTCATGTTTTAGCAAAATAGTGGCTATTTTTCAGTGACTTTGCAAACACTGGTTATTTTTCAAATATCAGTCCGAAAACTGACTAGCCCGTGCTATTTTTACTATATTTATGGCTGATTTACGCAAATGTACCTTTTTAGGCTGCTCTTTAGATTTTGTCCTTATTTTAAGAAGTTGTGCAAATATAGCTTTTGTCGGAAAACGTTAGACTCGTTCTAATATTGGATCATATAGTTTTCAATTTTCTCACAAAATATTATATTATGGTTTAACATTTGCAATGACTTATAAAAGTTTAGATCGTGATCTAACATTTACGCATAAGTTTTTCAGTTTGCTAAAAAATGATCTTTAAATTGTAGTAGAGATCTATCAGTTACAAAAAAAAAAAAAAAAGAAAAAAAAAGAGTTATTTACTAAAAAATTGATACAAAAAAGAAAAACCGATAAAAAAAATTATGTAATTTATTCTGGGTCATGGAGCTCTTTTACTTCAAAATAATACTCTTAAAATGGTTGCGATTTCCGGTGAAGTTGGCTGAAAAATGACAAGAATGATATTCTATTAAACAAAAAAAAGACAGAGAGAAAGTTAAGTGATTTTGTGGCTAGAAATTTTTTTTAAATAAATTTACTGCGATCATATTACAAAGTTAAATGACCACCTATAAAATTGACCCTCCGTTTCCATTAAAAAAAAGGATTTATCCACATTTTTTCTTGTTTAGTTTGTCCAGCCATAATTTAATGAGAGAGGGGGCGGGGGGGACAGCGGGGCTAACTATTTAACTTCTCGTATTTCATCCCATCATTTGGACTGAGCAGTGAAGACATTGTATTTCTTTTCCCACCACACCAAACAAATGAAAATCTCCCACCAACATAATGTTCTTTTTATTAATTACAGGGAAGCTGAAAAGGGTAAAACAGCATAAAACTGCAAAGATGAAATGGGATATTAGAATAATAGTACTATATTTCCAATTAGACCAAAAAGTCTTCTGTATGTTCCCTAACAAGTCAATTGTGCGACATTTCCCTCTCCCCTGACCAAGTAACAGTAGTAGGTCATCAACCTTTCACAAAATAGCAACCAGAATCTCAGATTTATATTAGACAGCCTTTGAAGCCCTCCTCTAATTCCTTTGCGTCTAAGTTCTTCCCTATGAATACTATCTTGTTTGTTCTTGCTTCATCTGACCGCCATGGCCGATCTGGAGAACCTTGGAATATGTCATGGACTCCCTGTTACACCAACAAGTAGACACATCAGCATATTGACAAATATCACGTGCCACGGAATTTACTCACTCAAACTTCAATGAGGCTGTGATTCACACCAGTAAGGCACTGATCTTAATTATAGCATCCACATTACAAGAAATGTTTCAGCCATTCCATAAAGGGATTATGTAGTAGTAGTAGTAATCACATTATAACTCATCAGTAAGATAAGTTAATAACCTGAAACACAAATCTCTCATCCATTCCCTGAACGGATAAAAGACCTTTCATCCGATAGATGTCATCGCTTCGTTCTATCAGCAACGTTCCCAGCCACATATTAGCCTGAATTACAGAATAACAACCCTTAAGCACTAGCATACTTGTCCAGATTTACAACTTACACACAATATCTTATTGAAAGAAGTATTTACGAAAAATATGGCCAAACGAAAGACCATGGTACCAACCTTCTCAAGATCCAAGCTCCCTTCACAAACTATGCTGACAGAAGAAACACCAGGGTCATGCGTGTGATCGTGAGAATGGTGATGATCATGATGTTCTGCAGAAAGCAACAACACTCTTGAGCAAATGTTCAAGATTCAACTATATGCACTAGAAATAGAACTGCTTTTTTGAGAAATAAGCTTACAAAATATACGCTACTACATCACAAGTGGAGCCAAAAGGAAACATGAAAAAAGATAGAAATTTTCACGAGGCGTGTGGCGAACAAAAGGAAACTGGAAAAAATTAACATAAAATAGATTGGTTAATAGAACCAAAATAAATGCCAAAAAAAAAAGAATAGGAAAAGATAAAGAAAGGGCCTAATGCTGTAAATGAACCAATAGGTTCGCAAAGAAACCACAACTCAACTATTTAATTTATTATATATCACCGAGCTCAATCTCACCCTACAGCGCCTTTTTTTGCAATTTTATTCCTCTTTAAAAGCAAAAAAGGTACTTATGCTCCTGTCAGTGTCTCCAATCTACCAACCTTAAGGTATTCAATAGGAAAATGGTTATTGCAATATTCTCTTGTATTCAGTATTCTTTTAAATTAAATATATGGATCATAAACGGGCTCATGAACAAGCTCAAAGTTAAATAATTTCAAAATGAATGCAAGCTCAATCTTGTGAGACTTTATTCAAGCCAAAGTCAAACTTGACTCTTGACTTGTAGATAGTCGGATCGAGCTAGGCTGAGCTTGTATAAATAGTTTAACGAGTTTGAATTTCCAGAACCAGGCTCGTGCTTGGTAAGAAGTGCTATATGTAGATAAGTTAATAGCTCCAATAACTAGAACAGGATACTCATAGCACTATGACTAAATAGAAGCCACGAAAGTATCAAACAAAGACTGCTTAAGTAGTTTCCCCGAAAATAAGGGGAAATAGTTCTATGGAAATTGAACTAACTGAGTTGGTGGAGCATTTTGTTGACATTAGCTACTAGAAGGGCTAGGATAGGAGTTCTAACGTCAAAGAACACTTACCATGCTTGTGATCATGTTCATGGTCATGGTGGTGGTGGTGGTGATCATGATGATCGTGATCATGGGCGTGGCTGCTATGGTCTTCCTTGGAACCTTCAGCGCCTACCGAACTCTCAATTCTACGAATTTAACAAAAACAAAGTGAGCAATAATTCTTTTTATAAAGGTAACATGTATAAAGTAAACAATATTCCTGTAAGATAAAAACTCAGACAAAGCAAAATAGATCTTAGAAACAATGGACCTCTATAAAAATGATTAAAAGTAAAATCTGAAGAATCCTAGTGCTTTCAGCACAAAATTTTCTATAGTTAAAAGAACCATTAGAAGAGCTAAATAAATCATAAAAAACTGAAGAAATTCATCAAAACCGTGACTCTGGAAGAAAAAAAATGTCTGAAATTTATGAAATAAGAAACTATACAGTAACTGATATTGCTCTTTGTAAATGCTTTATTCACCAAAGAGAATCATGTTCGAATCCTATTTTCCACAGTTCATTCAAGAAGCAAACACCCTTTATCTCTGTTTAAAACTTCTCCTCCCTTCTCCCAAGGACATTTTCTCTGCCGGACTGACTCTTTGCCGGCCCCTTAAGGATTAGCCGTGCAGGTTTTACTGATTCCCCTAGGTCCTGGCCCTCTAAGGGTACCAACAACAAAACCCTACTGGAATGAGTTAGGCATCTGACATACTTCAACATAATGTTTGGAAGAATACAGGGAAACCTAACAAGCAAATCCAAATATTGAATGCCTTTTTTCCCGTGAAAAACATGACTATCAGTTTGACTTAATTATCTGGAATGAGACTTGACCAGTTATTAACATTTTATGCTGTATATGCGTTTCTGGATAAAATGCAAAACAAAACAATAGACATGCACGCTTAAGGAGAAGAAGTAATACCTTTCCAAATCAAAGCCTCCAATCCCTAGAACATAATCCAAATCGACTTTTCCAAACTGTGTCCTCTTCAGATTGGCCATGCTATTTATGTTCTGTTTATTCACCATGAGAGTTTTAGCGAGTAACTCTAAGATTGACAAATAAAAATTATGTCAAATGACGAATCAGTCATAATACCAACCCTTATTCGCTGAATCAAGGAAGAAACTTCAGACTCACCAACAAGATCAGTCTGGCACGGAGATGAAAAACATTTGTCAGATTGCAGCGTGATGATTCATACTAGATCTCCAAGCTTAATAGTTTCATAAAATGAATTCAACTACATCTCAGGTAACCTCCACTTGCAGATAGAAACTTCTTTAAAAATATACATCCACATAGAAGCAAAAAATTGTGGAATGTACTGATTTAGCAAATAAATTTGACAGAACAGCATTAACAGATAGGTTAAGCAGCATTAGCAAATATATGCTCTATGACTTATAACTTTGTTTGGCAGGCAATGATCGGTTTCTAGTGATCCTGAAATAATAAAATGTCACTAGATCTGGGATAATTTCTGCCTCTGGCACCTCGAGAGCCTCGATTGCTATTATGGAGAGATAGTACCTCACTGCACAATTGGTAATTGAGATGGAGTCCACCTTAAAGAGATAGACATGTACCTTGTTTACAATAATACGGTCAGCATAAGCAATTTGCTCGACTGCTTCATTGACCACACCTTTTGGTTTAATCTCATCCAAGTGCAAACCAGCATGCTTAGAGTCAACCAATGTAACAACACCATCCAACTTAACATCGTTGAAAACCTGATCCTCTGTATAGAAAGTTTGAATAATTGGTGCAGGATTTGCCAAACCTGCCAAATCAACAGAAGAGAGCCAACATTGGCATCAAGAAAGGAGAAACCTTTTGGCTTATATGTGTAATAACGCACCAAGCTAGAAGCAAAAGGATAACCAAATGCCTAAATTAGGCAGCTGAGATATCGTGGATCCTCAACCCCATAAATGTACTAGAACAATTACGTGCAGAACAATGTGACTCATCGGTTTCCTACCTGTAGTCTCTATGACAATATGGTCAAATTTCCCTTTCTTTCTACTAACCAACTCAGCAATCATTCTAACTAGATCACCCCTCACAGTGCAACAGAGACACCCATTGTTAAGCATCATAATTTCCTCAGCCCCAGCAGCTTTTGCAGCAACCAAAGACCCATCAATATCCACTTCACCATACTGCATAGGAATAAGAGGTATAATAATACAGATTTCAGACAATCACTACCTAGCTGAAACATGAGAAGCTTAAAATGACAATATAATTTCAGAAACTACCAGGGGAGGGGAAGAAATAATAATATGTTAGACATTGACTTAGCCTAAAATCTTATTCAGCATATAAGAATTAAATAAGCTCCGTAATATTAAGATTATCCGATCTATTCGCATACCTCATTCTCGATAACAGCAATACGCTTCCCATGATCCGCAGTCAATATGTGATTTAATAAGGTAGTCTGCCACGTCAATTTTCCATCAAATAATTGCAACAACAAAAAGAGAGTTAAGCTCCATCTACTTGAGTACAAACAACAAAGTAAAATTTACAATACAAATTTTAAATAATTTAACTATGTAGTTAATTGACAGTGAAATTAAAGCAGTACGAGGTAAACTGAGCATAGAAAGAAGTAAAACAAAACATACTTTTCCAGAACCTAAGAAACCAGTGATAATAGTGGCCGGAATCCGATTATCTGGAGGTATCTTGGTCAAAATATCAGAGTCCTCGCTTTGTGGAGTGGAAGTAGAAGTGGCAGATACAGTAAATCTGCGAGATAATCTGTTTCGCTTCGTAGGATTATTGATTGCAAAAAGAATTCTTGAAGATGAAGTGGACAATAAACTGGCTCTCTGAGATGAGCTGGTTTTCCACAAATTTGGGAACACTGTAGTGCGAAGACCATAAAGCGGTGGAGTTTGACGCTTGGCCAGTCCCATAAAGGTCGTGGCTATGTCTATGGACAAGGAAGCCATGGCTGAGGAAGAGGAGGGTGCGCAGTGATTGGTCTTATGGCTATGGGTTAGGGGTTTTAGCCTAGCAAGATATTAGCAGGCAAATGTGTAGCGAATAGAGAAGGGGTTTATCTGATACTATTACAATTTACTATGGCAAAATACATAACCTACCCATCAAACTTAGAACCAAATCCCTCTTACACATCTGTTGAACACGGGTTTTATTTTACACACCAAACCTTTTAAAAATGTGTCAATTACACACTACTTTTGACCAGCCCCTTTAATATTTAATGCGTTGTATACACGCGCTTTTATAAATTAAAAAAAAAACAACGATTCTTTATAATTAAAATAGATTATCCGACCCTTTTCTTAATTCCGACCCATGAAAGATCCAACCCGGTAAGTTAAAAACACCTACACAACCAAATTAACAAACATAAACCCATTTTCCAAGTCCTGTTCTTCATCCCTAAAACTATGAAGATAATCTGACGAGAAGACATCTGGTTGTTGCTGTTTCTTCTTCAGTTTTTCAGGTTAGTATTCACATTTTAAGGTTGTTCAACCCTTTTGATTTGGATGGGTGGGTCGAAATAGTTAGGGTTTATTTGGGTATTTCATCAGGAGTAATTTTAGGGTTTAACAACCCTAACGCCCATTATCATTCTTCTGTCAATTCTCATATTAGTTGTGGAAGGTGAAGAAGAAGATTGTTTGGTTCAGAACATTGTTTGGTTCCTTTAAAGAAGAAGAAGATGAAATAAGAGGGAGATGAAGAATTGGGGCAGAAAATGGGTTAAAGAAAATGGGCCCAAATTTTAGTAAATAGCCGTTGTAATTAGTCAGTGAAGGCAGAAAGTAACTATTCACGCGCCCCACTGGTCGTGTTTCACATGCCCCAGAGGCTGGTCAAAAGTGGTGTGTAATTGACACACTTTTGAAAGGTTTGGTGTGTAAAATAAAACCCGTATTCAACAGGTGTGTAAGAGGGATTTGGTCCTAAGTTTGATGGGTAGATTATGTATTTTGCCATTTACTATCCAATAGATGGTTTTGGCCGGCCAAACCCCTAGAGGAAAAAAAAAACACTAATTAAAAAAAGGAAAAAGGTGATCCACTACAATTTTTTCTTTTTTACCAAAAACAAATAAAATAGAACCAAAAGGGATTGCAATATCGTGGTACAAAATAACGTTATAATAACATTTGACGTGGTACGCCCCGCATAAAATTTTTGGTGCAAAATACATGCATTTCCTATTTTATATTTTAATTAATCGGGATTTAATTAGATATTTTTAAGTGAAAATTACAAAACTAACTTTATGCTACCAATCTTCACTTAAATGATTTTTACGTGATAAAAATCATTTGAATATTGAACCATCAATTTGAATGACTACCGATAAAATTATTCGCGCATTTGAGTGTTTTGTTGTCTTCTCCTCCGCGAGAAGAAGAATGGGATGGTAAATTAAGCTTAATAATAATCATACATTTTATTTGAGCATGAAAACCATTTTTGCATGTTAGGATTGTGTAGCATCATTCCCGAAATAATAAAATGGAATGAGAGACGAACTTAGTCACTTAACAACATAATGTGTAATATTCACCACATTTTATTGGCAAACTTTTAGTCATTCACCTTTCCATTTTTTAGCTTGCAAGTTGAGCGTTAGGTCCAAAGTTGTATACCACTACTATGGTGTCAATAGATTCACTACTTCAGTGCTGTTATCGGACATTTCGTACCTAAATTTCATATCATTAGCATTTTTCAAGGGTCGCCTGGATAATTATTCAAGTTTTTAAGATGTTCTTTAATGAAAACTAGTATTCATACCCCGTGCATTGCACAGAGAATATTAAATATAATTTTTTATAAGAAAATATTACTTAAAAAATACAATACACACAAAGAAGCATGTAAACGATATTATTTTATGAACATGTAAATGCAATGGATATTCATACATTCAAGTCTATCCAAATTCTACCATTTTTTCTTGAATTATAATTTTATTATTTAAGTACTTGAAATTGGAAAAAAAAATTAGGATAAAGTTTGCATTTAAATTATTTAAAAATAGGTATCATCCTTTTGTTTTCTTCATGAAATAGTAGATAATATTATTATATAAACCCATCAACTGATAAATATTGGCGCAACAATATAAAAATAGATCAATAATAATAAGAAAAATGGTCTGATATGTCCCTCTACTATGATAAATTGTTTAAAGTTGTCCCTCGTTATACTATTGGGCCATAAAAATCCCTGCCGTCTTACTATCCTAACAAATCTATTCTTAATTAGACGGAGTGACACGTGGCACCCATGTGCCCTTTTTACATCCGGTCACACATTAAACGATCCGCTCCACGAAACCCCCGTACCCATAACCCGTAAACCCTTGATTTATAATACAAAATAAATCCCAACCCCAAATTTTATACTCCTACAGCAATTTCCATCAAACCCTCTATGCTCTAAGCTTCATCAAGACATCCAATTGTAACAAATGTCATCATAAATTTCTTTTTCTGTTGGTGGTGGTAAAAGTGGGTCACATGTCGGATTCTAGTGCTACATCAAAGAGGAGGTGCCATTGTGGAGAGATTGCCAACCACTTCCGATCAACCACACCTCAAAATCCCGGAAGGAGATTCTATAAATGTGCTAAACCTGAAGTAAGTTGAACTTTTCCATGTGTTTAGTTTGTTAATTGTTCATACAAAAATTGAATCTTTACTCCTTCTAACCTAATTATTGTTAATTATCGTTAGAATGAGTCGTGAATATTGGGAATGGCAAGACGAACCTTTTTCGGACCGAAGATTGATAGAAATCAGTAAGTTGCGGTGTAATTTGGATGCTGCTAATGTTACAATCAATATGTTGAAGCAATTGTTGGAGTCGTGCAAGTTAGAAAGGGACAAATTGTTGGAAAAAGTTAAAAATTTGGAGGTTGCAAAAAATGTTGAAGTGAACAAAGCAAGGGAATTCGAAGATAAAGTGGTTAAGATGAAGATGTTTATTTCGATTTCAGTTGCACTTTTTGTTGGATTTGTTGCGGCAATGTGGATGAAGTAAATTCTGTAAAAGAAAGATGGCATATGCTCCATATTTCACTTCCTAGTTCTTGTAATATTTAGACGTTTCTATGCTCTTATCTACTGTCTTTTTAGCTGTTTTAAAACAACGATATCAATTGTTAATGTATGTTCTAAGTATTAGTGTTTTGATGTTCTATCTATTATCCCTTTTTAATGCCCCTATCTACTGACTTATACTACTTTCAACTATTTAATTCCTTTGCCAAAGCTGTAAATAAAATATGTTTTCTTCCAAATGCTCGAAGACACTTCGAAACACAGTTGAAACATAGACACTTGTAATTAAACTACAATTTAGACTTTAGAACTAACAACTTACAATATTGAACTCCAATATGGCAACTTACAACTTCGAAACAATTAGATTAATATGGCATCCAATTTCACGAATTACATCACCAAAAACATACACTTCTTCACAGTAACCCCGGTAACTACATCACCAAAAACATACACCAAAAAATTATAATTACAGTAATTACATCTGAACCAACCATTAATCACAGAATACTAAATGGGAGATAACTGTCTAAAGTTTGGAGTAAATACTTCCCACACACAATGAAAAAATTGCAGCTTTGTCTTTATTTATTTTTCTCCTCGATTTCAGATTCCCAATTCTTTCTTGCCCTTGTTTTTCCAACTGATTTGCAGTTACAACACCCTTCCCCTTCCACTGTAATGTTGGGGCTGAATATGGTAGATCTGTTGGCACACTAGCACCACTATGATCACCAATGAAGTTGATTGACCTTGTTCCAGCTGGTATTTGTACCTGTTGTCTCATCCTGAGCCTTGTAGTTACTTCTGATGTAACTCTTGGCCTAAGCACAACATCTTCTTCATGTCTAACTCATGACCTAAGCATTCTTCCAGGTGTAGGCATGAACCTAAGCCCACTGTCCTGACTTGGTTGAGTGGCTTGATGTACTGAACAATTGATATCATTTTCAACTTGAGGTGCTTAACTGTCTTGACTTGGTTAGTTTCGTGATCTATCAAACAACTTGGCCTCTTCCTCTGCTGCTTTCCTTTTGAATTTTTTACAGTAGGTGCTGAACTGGTGGCAGCCTGCTCAGTTGTGGCAGCTGGTGCTGACCTAGTGGCAGCCTACTCAAATCTTCCACTCTTACTTTACTTATTTCACTGATAAAGATAGTTAAAAAGACAAGTTAGAAAATATTCTTCATGTCTAGTATTTAATGCTTTGAAGTTCATGTAAAACAATTACCTGATCACAAGTCTTTGCATTATGAGTTGTTTCTCCACATTTTCTACAAGTCATGATTCTTCCTTTTCTGTACTGTGACCACACTCCTTGTCTTTTAATTACCTTATCCTTCTGCCTATCTCTCTTAACCTTAGGTCTACCAGCCATTTTCACAAGCTCTGGAGGCTCCATTGCTCGAGATGGTTCAATCTTCCAAAACTTTTCTCCCCTGACAAGCTGTATCTTGTGCCTATAAGTCAGCAAAAATGCCTCCTTGCTATACCACCAGTTGATTTCTGTCATTGGATCACCAGAGTCATGAAGTATAGCTCTAATAGCATGTGGACATGGGATTCCTATAAGGTCCCATGACCCGCAAGTGCTCTTCTTCACAGCCAAACTGACACAGTGCTTGTCAGATCCTTCTGTAACTTCATAGCCATTTTGATCATTTGCATTTACTTCATAGGCTGTTTGAGCAATCTGCAGGTACTCATTGTACAAGTCCATGCATTTTGGACTGAAATCATGTCTCCGACTCCTAACTTTTTCTCCACAATCATGTTCAGCATTTAAAGTCTTGATTTTAATCCCACCAAATTTTTCTTTTGATATCAAACAAACAAAGGGACATCCAACAATATCACAACTATTCCTAAGCCTTTCTAAGTCACTATTCTCCAGTTTCAATCTTTTCCTTGTTAGCCAGAGAATATAACTTCATACACTTTCTAGCTTCTGGTATGTCCTTAAAGGACATACCTTTGTATAACTCTTTGTAGTCACTAAGTT